GGTAAGGAATGTAATGCTTGGGGCGTAGAACTCAAGACTTTGGCATCTATGTAGGGCTGTGAGAGCAGTGCCTACCAAATTAATGACTCTTGGAGTCAAATGTTAGGGCAAAATTATTTCAATTATTATCATGATTAATGACCGCTATTAATTTTTAAGATTTTTTTTTTTTTAAGAAATACAATGTTAGGTTAATATCTATTCAAAGAAAGTCAAATATGACATTCCACTTATGAATCAAAGTGCATTCTACCTACTTTTCACTTTAGAGAAACGTAACCACCCCTGAAACTACATTGGGTAATACATTATTCTTTAACAATTTAGTTTTAAAAGAGAGGCAGGTAGGGCAATTGGTTAAATTATTAGTATATAGATATTTTTTTTATCCACATGAGATGATGGTTTCAATCAGTTGGTCTCATAAAAAAGAGTTAATCTTAAAAATTCGTTCCCACCATCTTTATTCTTCTTAATAGCTTCGTTGAAGGAGGAGCTCGCAGTTTGCTGGAGACGAGATTCTTTTGGCTTTTGTTTGGTATTTCATAAAGCTATGTTGAGAATGATCCATGAAAACTTACTTTGAAGCAATTTTAAACGAATTTCATTTGGTTTCTTCATAAAATCCCAGTAAAATGTACAATCTCCGGTCTGATTTTACTCGTCCCACTTTTCCTTGCAACTATCATAGAGAAAATTACAAAAATTCATAAAAACACACTTATTATTAAATAAAATTTCATATTTATCTTTATTAATGAGAGAAATAAAACTGTCTTCTTCTTAAGAATGAAGTAATTATTAATAAGAACAAAATTTAAAAAATAAAACTTTAATATTATGTTAAAAATTGAAATTAACAAGTAACTTAAACCATTTCCTTTCAAAATGTGTAACAAAGAAAATGGGCAAGGAGAGAATAGCTAACATGTTCAGAAGCTTGGAAAGGTATGCTGCTAATGGGGTCTCTATACTCTGTTCTTTTCTGATGCTAAAAAAAAAAGGATCTAATTTGAAGGTTTCTAAATCCTAGAAAAAATGATCCGACATTGTTTCATGTCAAGAAATAACCTCTAGTTATTTTGACTAAAAGGTTCGAGGCTTTCCAGAAGAAGAAAAAAAAAATTAGTACAAAAGTATAGCACTGAATCATATATTCATTTCTGTAACAATATAATTTATAAGCCATACGGCATCTACAAATACTAAGATTGGCTTGTTTCATGGATCAAGTGTTCGATTCATCCAATAATGAATCACATATTCATTAATACTTGCTTAATAACAGGTATAAAGGATGCCCCTACCATGAGAGTTAATTCAGAATCTAAAAGGATAAAAAGAAATAACCTATAGTAATGAATGAATAGTAGCCTTCTTGATATTCAACTAAACACATACGAAAAATTTTAATTGATCAAAGACCAGCTGAGACTAATCCATGCAATGTAATGATGCCAATCAAAACATTTTGTTGATTTATCACGGGCAGAAATTGGACTGGTGATGGTGGGGACTCCATCTTCTGCATGGCTTCCACTGCCATTGCGTCAGGATCAATGGTTCTTGGTTTCCTGATTCAACCAAAAGAGTGTCAATAGCTTGGTAGGAACAGGAATCTACCACATAACAATTGCAGGTGGGTTCTATAGCTAAACTACACACGTATAATAAATTTGATTTCCCATTTACCTGTTGCACATTTCGCCCACTGTTAGCTTGAATATACCTTCTCCACTGGCCTTGAGAGTCCGACGCAAATCACCATCAGTGAATGTGCCAATCAAGTGATACTCTTCATCTATGACGAGCAAGCACCCACATCCTTTACTAGTCAGCTCCACGAGCTGATCCATTATCAAGTCTCCTTCCCTACAAACAGGAAGCTCATCCTGCTTCTTCATAACATCTTTTACCTACATCTCAAAAGCAACAATCAATTACTTCCCAAGAAAGAGAAAAGAATCATTAATGTTCTAGTTCTTTTCCCTAAAATTTTAACTGGGATTTCCTTATTGGTTTATGAAAATTATGCAAGACAAGATGTTGTCGGGAGCAGATTGCTGACACTAATGCAAAGAATGCACTGCCAATAATCGCAGCAAACTAACAGAAACTGGCTCTCAGTAAAACGTCAAAACACCAAAGGTAAAACTCCAGAATCACTGAATGAAAGGAAAACTGCTAGCGATTCAAGATACCATCAACAAATTGCATCAATTGTCAATCAATTTCCAACATTGCATCACAATGAAGCATCAGCAAACGGTTAAATTGCAGTTAAATTCACAATGAAGTGAGCCTAGAAGTTCCAGCAAAGCCATTGGAATTACTAAAAGTAATTGAATGTATGATTCCTCTTTATAATTTGTGAAACTTATTATTTGTTCTATAAACCATTTACCAGTAAGCATAACAGGCACCAAAAATGCACAAAATCCGGCATCAGAAGCATTATTAGATCAAAAACACCAAATAATAGCAAGAACTTCCCTCAAATTCCAACGGAGATGTCAAAAATTCATGTTGAATCACATGCATATCAATCAAAAACACAACTCTCCTAAATCCCAGCCTAAATATGGACAAAATAACACATAAAAACCTTACCTTGAAGATCAGGCTTTTCCCAATCCTCCCAGCCGGATGATTAGCCGCGTACTCCTCCTTGGTCAAGTTCCTAGCCCCCATCAGCGCAATCGCCACCGTGTCCCCAAACACCATCTGGATGGCGGTCGAGGTCACGGGTGCCAAATTGAAAGGGCACAGCTCCTTCTCCAACGGCAAATGCACGTTCATATCACAGAGGGATGCGAGCGCATTGCTCTCCACGGACGTAACTGCAATGAGATACGACCCCTTCGCCCTGGCGCAGGGCACCAAGCGCAGAAGCTCCTCCGTTGACCCAGACTTGGAGAACAGAACGAGGATGTCCCTCGAAGAGAGGGCACCGATATCGCCGTGGAGGGCATCAAGAGGAGAGAGAAATGCGGAAGGAATCCCCAAAGAAACAAGGGTCTGGGAGATCTTGTTGGCAACGAAACCGGACTTCCCCACACCAGTAAAGAATATGGTACCGGGGGAATTGAGGAGGGCGTGGGTGAATGCTAATGTCTGGGTGAGATCAAGGTTTTGAAAGAAGTAATTGAGGTGATCCTGCTGGGACTTGAAGAGGTGGAAGAGGGTGGATTGGGAGATCTCCGAAGACTTCTTGGAAGACGGCGATGGGAGGTCGAGCGGCGGAGGGAGGGATCCCATTGTGGAGAGATAGAGAAGTCAGATCTGATCTGGGGAATGAATGAAGGTGATAATGTTGATTTTTTTTTTTTTTTGGTGTTTTTAGTGAGGAGAAGAGGGGGAAAAAGAAGGAGGAGAGGGAAAGGGTTGTGGGGTTCATTAACTTTGGCGGCAGGAAGCTGTCTGGGTGGGGAAAGGATTTCCGGAATCAGGATTCCCACTTGGGTGTCTGTTGTCTTTTTTTATAATTCTTTAGAAACCCCTTCTTTTATCTTTCTTTTTTTTTTTTTACGTCTAAATAAATTATATAAAAAAGATATTTTTTTTTATTTCTCTTTATTCAACTCAGTTTTTTTTTATTTTTTTTGACGAGAGTAACAGTTAAATTAGTAATAAGGTTAGTAAAGTTAATATTGCTTGTGAGAGGTATTAAACCTAAATCAATGGTACAATCCACCGGCTGCCTTTCGAGCACCAATGAGTACTATCGGACCATAACAAGGAAATGCATTTAACTCAGTATTTAAATTTAAAACTTTTGATATTTTAAAATTTTAAAACTTTTAACTTAAAGTGTCTAGTTCTCAACAATTGAATTTTGCCATTGAGTTGGAAATATACAGAAACATATAGAAATATACGGTGGGGACTCCACTGCCCTTTGTACCAAAAAGGGAAAAAGAAATATGACAGAGAGTAAATAATGTAAATAATGATATTATTTTTATTATTTTTATTTAAAAATATTAATTTTATTCATTTTTAAATTAATATATTAATTTTTTATTTTTTATTTGAGATTATTTATTTTTAAATTTTTTATTTAAAAATGTTAATATTTTTTAAAAAGTCTATTTATCACATTATAATTATTGTTTAATTAATTTTTAAATAAACAATTAAAATTTAATGTTTTAAATAAGAAATATAAAAT